GAGAATAGTAGGACTAGGGAACACAAATATATAAATTTTGGCAAGGTAAGAGTCATCTTCGGCTAAGACAATTTTATTTTCTAACAGGATGGTTTGCCTTTGGAATGGATTGGCTTAGGATGTTGTGGAGGCAGTGAGTTTAAGAGAAAGTTTGATAACTAAATGAATGCAAAGAGCTAGTTTTAAGATTTAAAAAAACAATTATAATAGTTTAGTTTAGAGGATGGGACAGACAAGATGAACCAACAGGTCCCTTGTTGTCCCTAATAAACATTATGTTATGTTGAATGGGAATAGCTCTTAGACTGCATAAGTGAACCATCTTGTAACAGACTAAAACAAAACTCCACTACAACTAGGGTAAAACAAAAAATAAATAAATAAACTAACAACAACAGAAATCCAAAATATACCATTCAAACAACTGGAATACAACTATTTTTACTTAAAAAAAGTTTCTAAATCCATGTCTGATCAGGAGTTGATACAAAAGTTAATAAACAATACAACATAAATATCAATGTTATCAATTTCAATAAATATAGGAAATAAGAAAAAGAACCAGAAGAAGAAAAAACCTAATTTTTGGAATTTGATTAAAGTTCAATAAAAATATTTTACCCTTTATGATTTCTTAAAAAAGCACTAAAATATTATGTCTCACTTCTAGTGACTTCTTGAAATGACCTATAAAAACATCTTCCCATTCATGATTTCTTTGAAAGTGTTATAACTGGCAAGGGCCAAAAAACATTATATTCTTTGCTAATTCTTGGATAATACTATAATAAATCATTTTGTCCTTTACGTCTTCTTGGAAAACACAAAACACTGTAACCTTTGTGACAGCCTGAAAAAAATAACCAAAAATTACACTTATGTTTCTTAGGATGATGTTATAACAAAGCATCCTGTTGTTTGTGATTTCCTGAGAAGCATTACAACTAGACTTTTTGCAGTACACCACATTACAATGGTACTTATATCTCAATTATGTGTTTAATGAAGTATTTTACTAGCTTTACTCATGCATGGGCTGGCTCATACACTAAGATGATGGTCTAACCATGCACTAGCTTTGCTTTCTGCCATCCATCAACTCCATAACAGTGACTCTGCCTGTGAGTCAGTGACAAATATTATGTGAGGGGTACTGTCTATTTGCAGTTCCATCACTTTCAGTAATTCAGAGAAGAGGTTGTTTATTGTTTCCAGCTTCATCCTTGTGCTGCTCGTTGGAAGTGTCAGTACTCCACCTGCTGTGTGCAGTATATTGTTGCTCCTTGAGACGATGAACGCCAAACAGCTCTCTCCCTATTTTTGGGGTAGTAATCATCTGTGGTTATCGTGATGGTGCCTGTTTACCATGATCTTTAAATAGGTGATGACGGGTTTTTTTCTGCTTCACCCTCTACCCATTCTCTACAGTTTGTTTCTTGGCTGATTTCCACTTAGGGGGCATCTGAAATCTGGTGATGACCAGTCTCAGTGGAGCTTATAGCACTTGTCTATCCATGACTGTCAACTAAGGTACATTTGGATAATACAGTGTTTGGTTGCTGTTTGTAGGGTCATTGTGGAGCTGGAATGCATGGTCTTTATACTGCAATTAAGGCCCTGGTGAAAAAGCTGAGGAAGCTGACGAGTTTGTAAGAGAAGCCCCTATATGCAATTGTGTTGGCAGGATACTTGTCTCCTCTGAATATTAAGGCAAAAATGGCAAGCATGTAAAGTCTTGATCAACATTAAGAGGGAACAAGACTGCTGGAAAATAAAGTAATGTAGGTGTAACAAGGAAAACCAATGGGGGGAATCAGTAGAGCTGTATACAATCAGAATGTCACTCATAGCACCAATAAAGGAACTATCTTCTACCTTATTTAAGACAAACAATTTCCACAGGAGAGGTCAGAATCTATCAGCTCAACTCTGTTGCTGAATATAGATAAATGTTTTAAAGTTAGAATGAAATGTTAAAGAAAAAATAGTAATCATCTTAGTAGTGATTCTCAGTTACCTTGCTGTTTTTTAACAACAGATCAGTTCAGAATAATTCAATCTATAATTTACACCATCATTACAAAATTGTTAAAAGTAGATGGTACACAAATCATCTCTTAAACATTCAGATATGAAAATAAAAGTCTGTTGTAGTTTATCAAGTATCTCTCACACACATACATACATTACCTATTTTAAATGGGACTGATAAAAGAATTCATGATTTTCTAAAATTAGGGAGAAAGCAGTTATTTTTAGTTCAACAAGAAATGTAAACATGAATTTTTAAAAATAATTAACAATTATTGCACCAAGGTACAAAACACTACCTACAAATCTGTTGTAGACCCTGTCTTGTTTTCTTTGAAATTTCTTGCTAATTATCAGTAGTTTATACACACATGCATTAAACTGTGTTTTAAATCAAATAGCACTATGTTTAAGAAGAAATCCTAAGAAAATCCCTTACCTTATTGTTTTTGAACTTGTACACTCTGAAATATTTGCTTGTCCAAATGCTCTCAATTTATTGTAGTACTGATCAGATTTATTCAGAACTTCTGGAGGCATTTTTTCTACATCTGTTAGTTGTTTTGTCTGTTTCGTAGCAGGAGATCTTGATACATCAAATGGGGTAAATCTCTGTAAAAACACTTGCTCAGTACGTACACATATAAGAAACTTTGTTTGGTGTATTTTTTTGTGTGTCTGCTTGTTCATACATCCACCTTTACAATCTTTCATTGGAAATGTGTAATTAATACTTTCCAGCCTTCTTATTAGCTTTAGCAATATTTCTTTTCCTGATATTGCTACAAGCTTAAGCTTTCAGGTGGTCTGATACATTTTTTTATCTAATTTTATTTTAAAATGTTACTAATAATGTCTTCATTGAGTTAGTTACAAAATAATTCTACTATTTTATTAAATATCTAAGCAGATATAATTACTTTGAATTAAAAAATAACAAAATTACCCGATGAAAATGTAAGCTATATAGTATACACTTTTGAAAAAATTGTCTTTTATAAGTAAAGAATTCCCCTACCTGTGTTTTCAGTTACTTTTATTAAACATATTTGATCCAAATACTTTTTTTTCAATATAATGTAGTCTGAATGTCCACTCTTTAGGTTTTATTCACAACATGAGGAATGAAGTGTTTCATATTTTAAGTATTGGGAAATTGTAAATGACACATATTTAGTTTATTGCGTGATTAAAACTGTTAAACTTTAAAGCAAGTATTTTTAAAATAGTTACCATATTTGCCAGTGTATAAGACAATCCTGGATTTTTTTTAGCAAATTCAGTGTAATTCTTTGAGATTTGGTGTATAGGATGACATCTGTTGTCAAGGAAGTCTAGGATGTTACTTTTGTAAGGAAATTCTTAGAAGCCATTTTTAAACTGTGCTAACCTGCTCTCTGAGGTAATCAATACAACCACAAGTGTGGTTTTTTATGCTCTTTAAATGCTACAGACACTTCTTCTTTTCTATTACAAAAAATACTAAACCTTACGATATAGCGATCTACTATAAAAACAGGTTTACAAACTTTGTGTACATTACAGAAACTAACTTTTTTGATATAATATTAGCAATATTTTAGTATGACAGATGAGATCAATACATTTCAAATAAAAAATGTCTCAATTAATTGTAACTAGCATGTAAGATAAATAACTTCTATTTATGAAGAATCAAGACAAATGATACAATTACAGGTATGTTATTGTAATGCAGTAGGTGGCACAATGTCAACACACTTACTCAAAAAAGTAAATGAAAGTAAAAGGAACAATGTAGTTTTGGTTAAATATGCTATTAACTGGAATGTTCTTACTGGAACTCTATTTTTGAACCTGTGTATAGCACAAGGGGTAAAATCAGGCATTTTAAAAGTTAAATGTATCGTCTTATACACAGGCAAATACTGTATTGTATTTTATTCATGAAAGATCAAATACATGAATACCACCTGATACTTTGTGCTTTGGGGGGAGGGGGAAGTCCCAAAAATAGAAATTTTACAGATGTTTCAGTATTGAGAATTGGGGCATATTTCATCCACAATCCTACAACCACCATATGAAATATATACAAACTCAATATGGACAGATAAATGCCTTAACTTCTGTAAAACTGTATTGAATGCTTTGACCAAAGAAGTTCAGAAAATATAAATCTCAATGCTGTAAAAAATTTATAAAAAATCTAATTTAAAAAAGTAAATTCACAACAAAGGAGATACATCTTACAATCTTTTATGAGACAAATATACGGGCAAATAATGAAGATATACAAATACACACAGCAGAAAACATTTAAGTAACTTAAAATATCTCTTTACAAGATTCTTGGCTCTTCATTAGAGTGGGTTAATTAGTGGAATTTGCAAACTGATTAATCATCAGAGTCATTAATCAATTATTTTCATGAGACTTGTACAGTTGAAATGTTAATAATAAAAAATAATCAGAAACACTAATTTCAGTTAGTTCATTATTTTATTCGGTCGTGACACTAATTGATTAATTAGTGAATTAATTAAAATGATGAGAAATCACAATGGCAATATTCATGCTACTTGGATAGTTAGAATAGCTGAAAACAGCAATTATCAGAAATTTGTTATCTTTTAGAACGTATAGTGTATGCTGGAAGGATTTACACGTTTTGATAATAAAGTTAAAAAAAAAACATACACTTCATATTTAAAAAATAACTTATTTCAACTGACATTTTGCCTTTCTGGCTTCTTCAAGACTAGTACATAAAACTGTTTGATATTATAATATTTAATACTGCAAAGCTGGAGCGTAACAGTCATTTTCTCAAAATGAGCAACTATTAGAAACACTAATTTCAAGTAATTGATTATTTTCTTGACACTAACTGATGTAATCAATGCTCATAGGTAATCAAGTTAATCATACTTACAATGATAATACACTACTAAACAAAATATATCCTAGCTTTTAAGTTAACTTTTTACCTTTTTTTCTCAACATGGATTTATTATCTTTTGAAGCAGAAACTTCCATTTTTTGTAAACCTCTTGCATACTGATTAGTAATCCTTGGCAAATACCTGTGAAAATTAAACCATAATTTTATAAGTCATTAGGTTATACATTTTCCACCAGCTTCTCATAGATTAACTTGATCAAGAATTAAAACTAGATTCTAAAACTAAAAGCTAACATCTTGCCTAGGTCTCAATCATACAGATATATCAAGAATAATGTTGGTTATTTGAGTTAATCAGTCCCCCTTTCCCCAAACTTATCAAATCTGTTTTAATTTCATTGTTTGGTAAAATACACTTCAATCAAATTTATTAAGACACAATTTCTAAAATATTTATTTCCTGACTGTCCAGTTTTAAATTTTAGGGCTTACAACACAACAATTCAGGGTTCAATTTCTCACCTAGGACAAAGCACAGCTAGCCCTATATATAGCTTGGCGCTAAAAATGAACAAATAACAACATCTAAATACCTAGACTAGAATGTGCTTCTATCTATTGAAAGGACTAAAAGAAAACATTGATTCAGCAGTATATTATGTACTTTAAATCTATTCATGTGATGCTATCTATTATATATATATACAGTACCTTAGAATAAACTCAATTGCTTTGAAGAATACTTATATTATGGATAGTCCTACCACGGAAGGTTAGTCAGTAACATTAGAAACTTCTGGCAATATTCTCTAATGTTTCTCTTAATTAAATGTTTTCTTTTTAATAATTTATCATCAATTATTCTTTATTTCAATACAAAGAAGCATTGAGATTGTGTCTAGATACAATGTCACTAAGAATATAAAATACTATTGCTAGTCAATGAAATGACCTACTTTAAAACAGAAGCTTAGGGTTGTCTGAATTAGGAACTTGTATTTTTCTAATTTCCTGGTGTCTTTGTAAAGACTACTTGAAGTATAATATTTGAATGTTATATTTCATTGACCATATTTACATCCTATGAAAGGATTTTTTATGTTGAATATCAGTATTACGTTTCTAAGGAAGTTTTGAAATGTTCTTGTATATATGGATATAGTTCAATCAGTCAGTGAATGATTCTAAACTACAGTTTGACCAAGAGTTATTCCTTTAAAAGAGGCATTTTCAGTGATTTAGAGCTGACACACAGATTTATTGTCTAGTGAAATTTGATAGAAGTTTCTTACATCATTTCTTGGGAGTTTACTTGGCTAAAGGATTCATGATGAATGCTACATAGATTTTATTCATGCTAATAGTGATTTAATGAACTATAGAACTATTGATTTTTAATGTGTAGCTTTGGTGGAGATAAGTATTTCTAATTTCTTACTATTTTCAGCAGTGGCGTAGCAACGGTTCTCAACACCCGGGGATAAAGACACTTTTGGCGCCCCCACGTCTGAAATGTTTTATTATTTGTTTTGTGACTCGAGATGTTATATTGTGACTTTATTTTAGGCCTGTGTAAGGCGGTAATTAATTCTTTATGTTATTGTCATTAAGTGGGTAATGCGATATCACAACTGTAAACCTGGAACTAATGAAGTATAGCCTACTAGGTGTACTTACATAATTTGTAAACCATTTTGATATTTATGTCATCCAGTATTGTTCAAAATCATGTAGCTAGAGTAATCTTTCAACCATGCAGAATAAATTTCTGTTATATCCCTAGTTTTGAAACTTATGTTTTATATGAGAAGCCAGTCACTTGTGGTGTACATGGATTATAAAACAGATTGGTGAAATACTACTTAAGTTTACAAATAACAAATTTTATTAGTTTAGAAAACTGTACATATACTTAACTAGATCGTGTACAGGTAGAATTCTGGTATTCATGGTTACATTATATGAACCTCTCGTGCTTTTGCTGCTGCAAATGCATCCATTAAACTATCAAAATTTAAGGTATTAAGTAGGTCTTTTTCAATACTTAATATTGCCAAGCTACTAAGTCGTTCTTGAGTCATTGAGGTTCTCAAGTATGTAAGAATTAATTTCAACTGCTGAAGGGCATTTCACAACTAGCAATAGAAACTCCAATTGTCAACAAAATCTGCAATGCAATTCTTAAATTTGGGAAAACATCTTCACCATATTAAATTATAAATGTTAGCAAATCAGTTGCAACCATTGGTTCAGGAAAATCTGTCCGTGTTCTTTTACTTATCAACATTTTACAGTCTTTAATTTCTCTGTTCAATTCTGGTCTATCAATATCACCTGGATAGCTCTTTGCTAAGTCAGAGCATTTTTCTAGCAATTTTCCGTCTTCG